CACCAGGATTAATCTTGAGGAAAGGAAATAATTTCATCACATAAAGACTAGAGCTATAGAGAATATTGCTAATTCCAGGTATGGAAAAACAGCATGTGCCTAGTCATTGAAAAAGGAAAGAGTAAGATAAGAATGAAGGATGAGATAGTCCAATTTGACTAGAATGAAGAGTATGTGAAGGGAAAAAATAAGAGATTAGACTAGACAGGTTGCTTGGAACACTCTTTTCTATTTCTGAGTCTTCTGCCTTGCTAACTGCTTTGTTCATGGGTCCCATAGAGCTTCATGGACCACAAGACCTCAAATGGATAAGGAGCTATTTTTAAGATGCATATAGACTTGTGTTTCATAATCCAGAGCCAAATATCTGCTATTCATTGAGTAGGAACAGTAATGCTCACAAACTAGGTAAGAAGGAATAAGAATAATAAATTCTTGCTAAGCAATTACCATGTGCAAAGTCCTCAACCAGACACTGAAAGATGTAAAGATAAAGATCCAGTTCCTGTTTCCAGAGAGCTTATAGTCTAGTAAGGGAGGATAAAAGAAGAATAAGAATAAAAACACATTTATTTACACTATATGCCAGAGTGCAGAGGTGTGGAACACACTCAGGCAATATTCTCTGGTGCTGCTAGAATCAAATTAAAATGTAATCAAAGGAGGCAGAGACAAGATGGTACATTAGAGGCAGCATCGCAGTTGAATTCTCTCAATATTCCCCTCCAAAGAACTTTAAAATAATGCCTCAAATCAAATTTTGGAGTGGCAGAACCAACAAAAGGTCAGAGTGAGACATTTTTCCTGCCTAAGAAAACTTAGGAGGCCTGCAGGAGAGGTAAGAGTGGAGGCCTGTCTGGAGCACACACACACACAGCAGCAGCACAGCAACAGTGACAGCAATTTCCAGAGCTCTCAGTCCAGAGATAGTAAGAGAGTTGAGCAACTGGTCAGAAAGAGATTACAGGGGACCCATTGCTGACACTGGGTACAGCTGGTGCTAATTGGCAACTCCAGGTTGCATTCTAGGGCAGAGAAGAACATTTGTAGTCATTCCCAAGGGAGCAGGGGATCTGGTCACAGTTCTAGTGCGAAGAGGAGTGCTAGTGTGCTTGCAGCTGCAGGGGAGCAGGGACCCTTCCTGGGTAAAGACCACAATACAGATCAGGATAATAGTGATTACACCTCTCCTCAGATCACACCATCTTAGAAGCACAGAAAACTTGCAGACCCCCAGAAATGGCTCTGAAAACAGCAACATAAAGAAGTCTGAATCGTGGGACAGTGCCTCCCCACCCCTAGGTGAGCAAAGTCTTTACCCACTCAGACACCCTACCTTAACCGATAGGAAGGGAAGGGGATGAAAGATATGGGGGCGGGGGTATAATAATAAAAGAAGAGGTGGATTAAGGGAGGCAGTGGTCAGAAACAAAATAGACTTGAGGAGGGGTAGGATAAAAAGAGAGAGAGGATAAACCAAAGCAACTAGGATGAAGGGAAATACACAGCTGGTAATCATAACTGTGAATGTGACTGGGATGAGCTCACCCATAAAACAGAATATAACAGAATAGATTAGAAATCAGAATCCAACAATATGTTATTTGCAACAGACACACACAGAAAGACACACATAGAGTTAAAATAAAGGGCTGGAGCAGAACCTAATATTCTTCAGATAAAAAAAAAGCAGCGGTAGCAATCATGATCTCAGACAAAGCAAAAGCAAAAATAGGCCTAATTAAAAGAGATAAATCAGGGAAACCATATTTTGCTAAGAGGTACCATAGACAATGAAGTAATATCAAAAAAATTTACAGCAAATTTCTCTAATAAAGGCCTCGTTTCTCAAATATATGGGGAGCTGAATAAAATGTATAAAATAAGAACCATTCCCCGATTGATTAATGGTCAAAGGATATGAACAAGCAGTTTTCAGAAGTCAAAGCTATCTCTAATCATATGGGGGGAAATGCTCTAAACTACTGTTGATTAGAGAAAAGCAAATTAAAACAAAATAAAAAGCAAATTCTCTGAGATACCACCTTACACCTATCAGAAATGACAAATGCTAGAAGGGATGAGAGAAGACAGGTACACTAATAAACTGTTGGTAGAGTTGTGAATTGGTCCAGCTATTCCAGAGAACAATTTGGACTATAAAACTGTGCATACCCTTTGATCCAGTAATACCACTACTAGATCTGTACCCCAAAGACATAAAAGAAGAAGGAAAAGGACCTATATGTACAAAAATATTTATATCAACTCTTTTTGTGGTAGCAAAGAATTGGAAATTGAAGGGATGTTCACTCATTGGGAAATGACTGGACAAGTTGTAGCATACAATTGTGATGGAGTATTATTGGGCTAGGTGGTACATTGGATAGAGTACTGGGCCTGGAGACAAGAGTATCTGAGTTCAAATCCAGCCTTATTCACTTACTAACTTTGACCCTGGGCAAAGTGACTTAACCCCTATTTGCCTCAGTTCCTCATCTGTAAAATAGGGACACACCAGAGAAGGAAACAGCAAACCACTCAGCATCTTTCAAAGAAAACCCCATGGACATTGTCCATGGAGTCACAGAGCCAGATACAACTAAACAACTAAACAACTATTGTGCTATAAGAAATTATGGGGGGGGGAGGTTCAGAAAAACATGGCAAGACCTATATGAACTGATGCAAAGTGAATTGAAAAGAATCAGAAAATCATTGTGCACAGTAACAGCAATATTGTAATGATGGTCAACTGTGAACAAACAGCTTGGGTACTCTGATTAACACAATGATCCAAGACAATTCCCGAGGACTCATGATAAAACCATGCTATCCCCTCCCAGAGAAAGAATTGGTGAATTATGAGTGCAAAGTAATTTTCTCACTTTCTTTTGCAATATGGCTAATACAGAAATATAAATATGTTTTGCATGAAAAAATGTAATTGGAAAATATTTAACAAAATAAAATACAATAGAACATATATAATGTTAACCTGTGGTTTTCTATGTCACTATGTGGCTGGCATGTAGTGGTTCCATTTCTATTTGAGTTTCACATCATTGGCCTAGTAGATAAAGAGCCTCCTCTAGAGTCAAGAAGATCAAGGTTCAAGTCTTGCCCCTAAACATATTGTCTGAGGAACTATGGCCTAGTCACTTAATTTCCTAGTGCTCTCAAGCAATCCTCTACCATTGTAAATTACAGAAAAGTTCCCATGGTAGAGATTATTTTCACACCAGGAATTCACCTCAGACAGATACAATCTCAGGTCTAGACCAGGAGTGCTTTAATGTTTTCAAAGTGTTTTCCTCATAACCACCCTGCAAATGAGATATTCACCATTATATTTTCCATTAAACCAACAAGGAAAATGAGGTTTGTAGAGGTTTACTGATTTGCCTGTGGCCATATATCTAGGAAGTGACAGAGCCACAATTCGAATTTACATTTCCTGACTCAACTCTTTCCATTACATAGTGCTATCTTTAATAGAAAGTAGAATGAAATCAGTTACATAAGAGGTAGAGACAACATCCAATGAAGGTTCAGAAATTATCTCCAGCTGGTAGAATCAAGGCATACTTCACAGTGTTCATTCTTTTTTTTAAATTTAGGAATCATACCTTATTTTTGCCTAATGTAATACTCTTCACATAGTAAGGATTCAGCAAATGTTGAATGCCAAGGGGATAAAGTGGCTGAGTTTTCAAGGATGGATAGGACCTTGTGAAAGGCAAAGAGAAAACCCTGTGTAAAGACAAGGAAGGGGTGGAAAGGGGAGTGGAGGAAGCACAGTGCCCATGTGGGGAATGGTGAGTAATCTAGTTTGACTAATATAAGGAATGCGTGAATAGTTAGAGTGAGAGATAAGGTTGAATGGGTAAGTTGGGGCTAGGTTGTAAGGAATTTGTAATACCAGCCTAAGAAACCTGGAATTTATCCTGATGGCACTGAAACCTGTTCCGTAATGAAGCAATATGATCAGAGAAAGATAGGTGGCACAGGAAAAGCTAGATAGTCCAGTGGATAGAGTACTGAACCTGGAGTCAGGAAGACATGAGTTCAAATCCAGCCTCAGACACTTACTAGCTGTGTGACCCTTGGCAAATCACTTAAGCCCATTTGCCTTGGTTTCCTCATCTGTAAAATGAGCTGAAGAAGAAAATGGAAAACTACTCCTGCATCTTTGTCAAAACAAAAATAAACACAACTGAACAAGACCATAATAGTTCAGGTGGAAAATGAAGAGGGCCTGGACAAAAGTAGTGGAAATGGAAAGAAGGGACTAGATTTGAGAGCTAAAGTACCTGACAACTGATTCAATGTTAGGGGTGAGGAAAGGGAAGAGTTAAAGATAACTCCAATATTTCAAGCCTAGGTGACTAGGAGAATGCTGCTACCTTTCTTATATAACTGACTTCATTCTACCTTCTATTAAAGTTAGCACTATGTAATGGAAATGGAAAAAGTTAAGTGCATTAGAAAGTATTCAAGGCCTTGGAATTAATTTCAAAAAGATATGAAGGCAATGATAAACAGCATCTCATTTCATATGTCACAAACCTGCCTTTGTTTGGCACATCGCACACCCTTTCTTCCAATCCTCTCCCACCCATATTGCATGTTTGTATTAATGCTGCTCATCTGCTTGCACTAATGCTATGTAAACCCTTGTTTCTCTTCCCAAAGATTTGTCCATCTGATTACATAGTCCTTTGAACAAAGGAACAGAGAACTACATAAACCTATCTTATAGGGCTATAATCAGGTCAGCATGGCCCATGGCTGGGATTTGAGATTTCTCCTCTGTATCACTAAAAAAAAAAAATTGGCTCATTGAAAAAAAAGGCTCATATCACTGTTCTTATTCGAACCAACAAGCATTTAGTAAGTGCCTACCGTATGCCAGGCAATGGGGCTACAAAGAAAAAAATGAAACCATCCCTGATGACATCATAATGATGGTCATCATCATTATTAGCACTTATAGAAGACTTTAAGGCTGATGAAGTGCTTGGCAAATATCTCGTGGCTACTGACAGAAATCAGAAAGTCAAGGTGAAAAATTGGGAAGGGGAGAGGAAGATAATAAATTCATGTTTGGAGGTGCTTGAAACATTACGGTAGAGTTATTCAGTGAGCATTTGGAAGTGTTGATCTAGAATTTCAGAGACAGGTTAGGGCCAAAGACCGGGGAGGCATTCATATAAATAAGATAATTGAAGTTATGAGAGTGATATCCCTGAGGGAGAAAGTGGAAAAAGGTCAGAAGTCTAAAAACAGAAATTTGGGAGTACCAAAGTCTACAGAATGGGAGGACTGAGAAAAAGGGAGAGAAGAGCCAGACTTGGGCAAAGAACTACAAAAGCCAAAGGAGGAGAGAGATTAAAGCAGGGGTGTTCCTATATAGTATTGAATAGTGCATCATTCAAAGAGGATAAGACCTAAGGAAAAGCCACTGGTCTCATGACTTGGTCATCCCTGTTGACTCCTGAAAAAACAGTTTCATTAAAGTGACAGCTAATTCAGAAAGCCAACATTATTTAATGGGAAAAGCACAGGGGAAAAAGAAAAAGTATGAACTTGGAGTCAAAAGACTGATGTTTGTGTTCCAGTTTTACCACAGTGGTAAATCCTTTTATCTCTGCATGTCTTTGAAAGGTTTTTCCTACCTGGCAAATGTAGATAATAATATTTGTACTAGCTACCTTTCAAAGGTTTTGTGAGTGAAGTCGTTATTGTAGAATACACATAGAAAACACCTTGTACTTATATTTATTTAGTATATACTTTATAGTTATATATTTATATGTAATTTTGCTGTTGTTGAGTTGTTTCAGTTGTGTCCAACTCTCCATGACCTGAATCGAGGTTTTCTTGGCAAAGATACTGGTTGGCCATTTCCTTCCCTAGCTTATTTTACAGATGAGGAAACTGAGGCAAATAGGGTCAAGTGACTTGCCCAGGGTCACATAGCAAGTAAGTATCTGGGATCACATTTCAATTCAGGTCTTCTGACTCTGGGCCTGGCACCCTATCTACTGTGCCACCTAGCTGTCCTCTATCTATGTGTACACATATGCAATATGTACAATAGAATATAATAAGTTCTTTGATGGACAGCTAGCTTGATGGGCTAGCTCCTTGGGAGTAGCTAGGGAGTGCAGTAGATAGAACTCAGGATCCCTAGAGTCAGGGAGACCCTATGCTCAAATCCAGCCTCAAATACTTACTAGCTGTGTGACCCTGAGTAAGTCACTTAACTGCTGTCTGCCTCAGTTTCTTCATCTGTAAAATGGGGGATTGTAATAGCAATTACCTTGAAAGGATGTTGGGAGAATAAAAATGAGATATTTGCAAAGTGCTTCATCAGCCTTACAATACTCTATAGATGATAATAATGATGATGACCATGATTATGATGTCATCAGGGATTGCTTCATTTTTGTTTTACGTAGCTCCATTGCCTGGCACATAGTAGGCACTTATTAAGTGCTTGTTGGTTCAAATACAAAGAACAGTGAGATGAGTTATTTTTTTTTTCAATCTGCATGGTACAGAGGAGAAATCTCAAATCCCAGCCCATGGGCCATGCTGACCTGATTACAGACAGCCCTATAAGGTAGGTTTATGCAGCCCTCTGCTCTTTTATTCAAAGGACTGTGTAATCAGATGGACAAATCTTTGGGAAGAGAAACAAGGGTTTATATAGCATTAGTGCAAGCAGATGAGCAGCATGAATACAAACATGCAGTATGGGTGGGAGAGGATTGGAAGAAAGGGTGTGTGACATGTGCCAAACAAAGGTGGGTTTGTGACATATGAAATGAGATGCTGCTTATCACTGGCTTCATATCTTTTTAAAATTAATTCCAGGGTCTTGAATGCTTTCTAACACAGTCCATACGGGATGCAGCCTCAAGGTAAGCAGTTCTTTATTTGTGTTATGTAACAAGGATGTGCCAGAGGCTAGAATAGGAGGCTCTCTGAGAGGCTAACATGAGCCTTCAGGTTTAAAAGAAAATCTTAATGAAACATCTTTCTTTTGCCCTGGAATCCCTCTTGTGACCAGATTGCCAACTTCATCTTGTGATGGCTATATAGGACGCCAATCCATGGAATGAATCTCTCAGAAAGATACAGTTCTTTTAGGGTAGGAGACTTCTAAGCTAAAAACTTTACAACCTGATCCAAGAAATGTTTACTGAGTGCCTACTTTGTGAAAATCCCTAACCCTCCAAGAGCTCACAGTAGGCTTGTAGAGGAGGGTAAGTCGGTAAACAAATAACTCTAGCAAAAGTTAGGTGATCAGTACTTTGGAGAGATCAGAGTGACCCAAGGGATCCAACAAGGGAAGGAGATCTCTCCTAGCTAAAGGGATCAGGGGAAACTGCCTTAAGGTGGTAGCAGCTAAGCTGGGTCTGGGCTGGGAAGGAAGGGAAGGATTTTGGTAGAGGAGGCTATGGGGAGAAGAAATGTAAATCACAGAAAAGAAGAATGGCATGCCCCAAAACACACAGTTGGAAAGGGTAAGATAAGATCTGGGAAGAGTGGGGACATTCCAATTTAAATGGGGTGTTGAATGCACGAAGGAGAATACAGTGAAATAAGGCTGAATAGTTGTGTTGAAGCCAAATTATGGAGGGCCTTGAAAGCTAACAAGCTCCTGTCTTATTTGGTGAGCAAAAGGGAGCCATCGAAAGTTTTCAAGGTGTTAGCAACAGAACAAAATAACAAGAAAATTGAAAGAAAGGATATTGGGCTTTTATTGCTATTCTGACTGCCATCTGTAACGGATAGGGGTAGGGTTGGGGCAGGGGAGGTTGTGGTATAGTAGAAAGTGTTCTAGATTAGAGTCAGAGGACCTCAGTTCAACTCCTAACTACCACTTCTTAGCTGTATAACCTTGGGCGAGTCACTTAACCCTTCTGTGGCTCAGTTTCATCATCTGTAAAATGAAGGAGTTGTACTAGAAACCTCTAAGGTTGCTTCCAGCTATGATACTTCTAATAGATTTCTTGTTTTCTATTAACTTGGTACCAAGTGTGACTTTTTCCTTGGAGCTAAATCCATCATAGTCAACAGGACAGAGGAGAGAGCTGGCTTAATGACAGTTCATGGGGGAAAAGACTTGGGGGTTGTTGTATACTAACTACAAAGTCAAAGTGAGTCAGTAGTATTACGTGGATGCCAAGAAAGCTAGTGCAGTCTTGGGCTGCATAAATAAAAGCACAGTGTTCAGAACTGGGTAGGTCCCACTGTACTCTGCCTGGTCAGACCACATCTAGATATTGTGTTTTGTTTTGAATGCAACATTTTTATAAGGACATCAACACTCTGTTTCATGTTCATAGGAGGATTACCAAGAAAGGGAAGGGACGCAAAACTTTGCCACTTGATCTATACAAGGAACTGGAAATGGTTCCCTTGAGAAAGGGAAACTATGAAGAGACATGATTGCTGTGTTCAGTGCCATAATGTGGAAGACAAATTAGACTTATTCTGGTTGCCCCTAGACAGCTAAGATCAATGGATTTGACACGGAAAAGAAAGAAAGGAACTTGGCCTTAATGTGAGAATTGGCTAACCTAGATCACTCCCACAGTGGCAATGACTCCCTCGGGAGACAGTGAGAGCTCCCCTATCTTAGAAGATCTTCAAGCAGAGACATTGGATGACCATTTGTCAAAGAACCTAGAGACAGGATTTCTGTTTTTGGTCATGCTGCTATTCCAATGTGATATAAGCTCCTGGTCTCATAGATTGATTGCTAAAGCTAAAAGAGGCTTTACCAACCATCTAGGTGACTCCACTCATTTTACAGGTAAGGAAATGGAAGCCCAGGAAAACAATAGCCTTGCCCAAAGTTACACTGATAGCAAGAGGCAGTGTAGTAACATGGTTGGCGTTTGAACTGGCCATTCTCTATGTCCAGAATGCTCTTCCTCCTAATCTCTGCCTGTTAGGGTCCTTCTCTTCCTTTTTAGGTTCCACTCAAGCACCATGTTCTGCATGAAGCCCCAACTTTGAGTGTCCTCCCTCCCAAACTATCTTCTATTAATTACTTTGTATTATTAACTTTACGTTTATGCTGTGCGTATGTGTGTGTGTGTTTCTATTTACTTGTTTCCTCCACTAGAAAGTAAGTTCTTTGAAAGTAGAGATTGTTGGGGCAGCCAGGTGGCGCAGTGGATAGAGCACTGGCCCTGAAGTCAGGAGGAGCTGAGTTCAAATCCAGCCTCAGACCAAACACTTGACACTTACTAGCTGTGTGACCCAGGGCAAGTCACTTAATACCAATTGCCTAAAAAAAAAAGAAAAAAAACAACAATGAAAGTAGAGATTGTTTCATCCTTTGTACTTGTATCCCCGGTGCCTAGCACAGTGTCTGGCTTGTGGTTGCTTAATATATGATAGAGAAATAAATAGATATAGCTATATGTGTATACACATATAACTATATAAATATGTGTGTCTATGTATATGTATACATGTAATATACATATAAAATATAGATATGTATGTTATATATGATGTATGTATGTTTATGTATACATAAATAAAGTTAGCTAGACAGACAGGCAGATGGATGGAGTGCATCCATGTTTGTATCCCCCCTCAGACACTTACTAGCTTCGTTGACCCTAGGCAAGGAAGTCTCTGGGACTCAGTTTTCTTATCTGTAAATTGAAGGAGGAGGGTAATAATAGTACCTACTTCACAGGGTTGTTGTGAGGATCAAACTAGAACCAGAAGGAGCCTTAAAGACCATCCAGTCCAGCTTCCTTATTTTACAGATTAGGAAACTGAGGTTCAGGGACATTAAGTAAATGCATCTAAAGCTTTTTGCATCCTTTAAAACCTATATGGATACAAACTGCTGATATTATTATTAGTAAGTGGTACAGTTCAAACCCAGATCTTCTGATTCTAAGCCTAATGTTCTCAATACACAAAAATGTTATTCAATACATGCAATATAGACTATACATGAATGAATGAATAAATGAATGAATGAATGAATTACTAAGCACTTTTTATATGCAAAGCACCATGATAAGCACTGGGGATCTAAAGAGAAAAATAAGATAGTCCCTGCTCTGAAGGAGCTCACATTCTAACTGATTGAGGCAGGGAATATATGTAAAGGTTTCTGCATCAAGTCAAATGGAAAGGTCCCATGGTCCTGAAGGTACAGCAACAAATCATATGGTACTACCTCTTCATTAATGTCTTTTTAACACTGATGATTCTATCTATTTTGTGATGCTGAACCATTTGTCACTAGAATGGAAGCATTGCTCTTCCAAAGGCTTTTGGGTCCAGGGTCATGAGCTCTCTCCATCAGGGTCTGAGGGGGAGCAGTGGTCAGAGTGGATTTGATCTGCCTGGTACACATGCCCACTGCTTTTCTTCCCCTCAGGGTGCCTTGCTGATTCACTTAGACAGACTCACATGTACGAATGGCAGTTGGTAGGCAGTTGGTGGAGATGGCTGACTCCTTCTCCCCAGGAATTGCTTCTCCAGATGATCGATGTAAGTGCTGAGCTGGAAACAGGGCTGATGATATAGTAAGTGTTGCCGCTCTCAAGGTTCTTGCACCCATCTGCCAGTTGGTAGTTGGTCAGCAGTTGTTGCTGGAAGTGATGTCAGAGATGGCCCTTTTCCGCAATGATATCTCGCCTCAGTGATGGTGGCAGAAGCTGGGCTACCAGCAGATCCAGTGGCTTAGAGGACACTACTGTTCTCAAGGTTCTTGGGTTTAGGGTTGTGGGCTGTCTCCATCAGGGTCCAAGGGGAGATGATGATCAAAGTAGTTAGGATGGTGGTTTACCTTGCCTGGCACATGCTGCCTCCCATCTCTCTTCTCAGGTGCCTTGCTGTTTATTTTTTGTTCATTGCCTACACCAATTAATTTGGCTTTGAGAATTCAATAATATTCCCCCTTGAGAGTTTAGAAGAGTCATTAACATTAACAAGTGGAAAAATCTGCCAAGAGAAAACACAGGGTTAACACTAATGCCACCCAAGGAAAATAAACTCCCTAGAAAGGATTCCTTTGGGAGAGGAGAGGCAGAAGAGGGGAAGAAAGGGAAAGCAAAGTCTCATTTGCTTACCTTTGGGACTGAGGAGGGAATTAATTCTAAGCAATAGCGTAAAGGATGATTTGTGAACTAGCACACTGTCATTTGATCTTTCCAAAGGATAATGGAAAAAGCATGGATGGACATACATAGGTTGAAACATATTACTAGCAGTGATTTGCACAGGAGAAACGGTCTAAAAAATATACCATCAACCACATGTATAAACAGAAAAGAAATAATAAATGGTAGGGCCATGGATGGCCCAAATGTTGCACATATGTGCATAAAATGTTAAAGAAATCAAGAGGAATCTCTTCACTGTGTTTGGGGGTAGGGTGTCCTCTAAAGAGAAGTTATTGAAAGACATATAAATAAAATTAGACGAGACAACACGGCTCTATTATATTCTTTACTGGTGTTTACGGTATCCACACCAATAAAATTCCTTCATTCTTTTTTCTTCATCCTTTTCTGTCATACACACACACACACACACACACACACGTACACACACACTCTCAGCTTACTCAATTTGATTCAATAATCTCATCTTGAGCATCTACTATGTATAAAGTGGACTGGGGTCAGGGGTGCAGACAATACTAAGACACAGCTGCAGACAGCAAAGAGTCTGTGTTAGCTCTTTTGCACCTGAAGGAGTTGCTCCTATGCTGATAATATAATAAACCTCAAAAGCAACTGACAGAATAGGGTATTAATTGGGCTACAAAATTATAGAAACATCTTGGCTATGTGAGTATTACATATTACATTATTAAAACATTTATTTATTGAGGGGCAGCTAGGTGGCACAGTGGTTAGAGCACTGGCCCTGGAGTCAGGAGGACCTGAGTTCAAATCCAGCCTCAGCCATATAACATTCACTAGCTGTATGACCCTGGCAAGTCACTTAACCCCAATTGCCTCACAAAAAACAAACAAACAAACATTTATTTACTGAAATGTTTGGTCAGAGTAAGGTGACTTGGTCCTCACAGATACTAGCTAACTTTACAGCGAACTTTCCTATAGGTTTCCCTTATAAGAAAGTTTATTTTCAACCTTTCTCTCCCTCTCATCCTTTCTTGTAAATGTATGCTATCAATAAAAAGCGAAAGGCACCATGATGTAATGGATCAGATAGCTGGTCTTAGAATTATGTTCAGTCACTGCCTTTTCTACGTATCAGTTGCGTGACCCTGGGCAATTCATTTAATCTCTTAGGTCCCCAGGCAAATCTATGACTATGTGGGTGAAGAGAGTTTCCATACCAAGGGGCAACCCACACAAATGAAATCACTGGTCCAGTCTGAAGAGAACTAAATAAAAGTGTTTGTAAAGTGTGAATGAGTGGAAATGTTGATTATTAAACATCAGTTTAGCTCCATTGTTGGAATGACAGTTTCCACATGTGTAAAATGGGGATAATAATCGTCACACTCCTTAGCTCATAGTTATTGTGATTATCAAACAACATACTTTATAGAAAGCATTTTTAAAATGTAAAGTTTGTATAAAATGCAACTCATTATTAGTTGCAGCATTATTGTTTTATGTGAAGAACAGTGGTTAAGGAGCCTAAAATAAATATATCTGATGCCTAAAGGAGGATTCATGGTGGTTCTGAATTCTTACACACCAGTATCAGTCTGTACCCTGTTTTCTCTTCTCTGGGAGCCAAGCTAGCTAAATGCAAAGAGGTTCATTGTCTGAAAATGACAAATAAAACACTCCATCTCCTAACTCAGGACATTTTTACTGAAGATACCTTATGTCTGGGATTCCCTCCCTCTTTGTCTCCATCTCCTAGCATCCCTGGCTTCCTTCAAATCTCACCCGAATTTTGAGACTCAACCTTTCCCAATGATCCTGAATCTTGGTGCTTTCCCTTTGTTGTTTAGCTCTTGGATCCAGGTTCATGAGCTGTTTCCATCAGAATCTGAGGGGAAACAGTGGTCACAGTGGATTTGACCTGCCTGGTGCATGTGGCCACTACTTTTCTTTCCCTGAGAGTACCTTGCCGATTCACTCAGACAGACTCACACGTATGACTGTCTCTATCTTGTTTGTACTTACTTGTTTACATGCTGTCTCCTCCATCAGACTGTTTGCTCTTTGAGAGGAGGGATTATTTTTGCCTTTCTTTGTATCCCTGGTACTCTGCACAATGCCTGGCATGGTAGGCATGTAATGAATGCTTATTGATTCACTGTCTAACAGACTAAAGGTGGGAAAGCAGTTGCTAAGATGTTTTGTCCACAAAAACCAATGAAGACCATCTATCTATCCAGTAAGGCATGGAGAGGTTGCAAATTCTGTTGGCAGGAGTACTCAAACCAATTAAATTACATGTATTATGGATAACGGAAATATATTTTTAAAGTGCCATTTTT